GCTCCAAGCAGTGCTGCTGCGAGGCATAACAAAAATTAAATAGCAGGACCATGTAACGAATGACTCTATTCTGTTTAGGGCACAAGTGGCCTCTGTGAATGTTGAGGTTAAGAACTGAGACTAAGAGATTGACCCTGTTTGACAAACTGGTTGATCATAAGCCATTTACTCCAGCTTCTCGTACAGGGGCTGAAACACACAGACGTTGGCCAGAGGGCTAACATGCAACGTAGAGGAAGAAGGCTAAATCAGATCTGCTTTCGGAGAGGAATATTTCCATCCGCGGTTAATTATCTTTGCTTCATATCACAAATATTAACGTTGCAAATACAGTGGACATCCAAACCAGAGACGTTTTGCTTATGCAAATGACTCAAGAGTATGATCTCTACGAACACACAAAGTGTAGGCCAATTTTGTGGAGAGTGTCGTTCCCTGAACACCGCCAATTTTCGATAATTCAGAATATTTTGTTCTGCTTCTCTGATGATCCTGCGTTCTTGATGTTCAAGTTTCTGATGGACAAAGAAAGACGATCGTTGAACTTCTGATGCGCAATCCGAGATCTTTCCCGAAGGAGATAATTTAAGCTGGACCATCCTAGACGTGTTCTCCATTTCTTGGTGTTTACGTTTAATATTTACGTTTACGTGAAAGAGATGCTTTAATTACTGCAGTAGCTGACATGCTGGCTTTCCGGGGCTTCTTTTGATATGCCATGACAGGCTGAATTGATAGGTGCATAAGTTAGAGTATATAGTTACACGACGGAATGAAGTTGTTTGGAACAGACGCTCGAAATGTCTTTTTGTGTTGCGGTGTCAGGCAGGTTTGAGCCATACGACGTGCATCCGCCGCCGCTGATTCGCTGCGATCGATGCCGTGCGTTGATTCGCTGGCGTCCACGATCAAAGCCTGTTGCATGCTTTAATTCGCTGCTTTTCTACTTTGTTGTGTGTTGTATGATTTATTAACTGACGGTCGAACACGTTCGACAACCAGCTTACCGGCTGCACTGAAGGAAGGCTTCTCTGCTGACCGTAGGTCAACCAACGTTCGCTGTTTCTCGGCTCTCCGCGTTTCATCCAGCTCTCGCACGTAATCGATCGAGCAACAGTGATTCGCTCCAGGGTCAAGTTGCCATCCCATAATGCTGAATGAAAAATAACGAATTACTCATCCTAGACCATTCAGCGCCATATTACACCTCTCTCTCGCTGTGGAGCTGCTCCTTGGCGTTTGAGCACCTGCAGTGCCATGTGCATCTGCATCATTTTGTCCGCTAGAGCCACATAACACTCATCACGAACGACGTTTCCGGAGCTAGTAATCCATATTCGCTATTACATAAACATGATATGTTGCTGTCGGACGAGTGTTGTCGAAATCTGGTCTTCAAGTAGCCATTCTTTAATTGACATGCTCAGGTGCGCGAACAGCTCATTGTGATTATGCAGTAGCATATAAAGAGTGCCAGCTCCTGAAAGAATGTTCATACTGAGTGCAATGTGACCCTAGCAGATGAAATGAGGCAGGGGCTCAAATACTACGGAGCTGCGACCTGCATGCATAGCCCCTAGAGAATTACAAGCTACAGGGCGGGCAATACGCCGTGAAATCTGGTCTTGGACGAGTCATTCGTTATCTGACATACTCAGACGTACGAACGGCTTATGATGTTCATGCGATACGTTTAATGGCTTCTGTTTCCGCTTTTTAAACGCCTAGAATTTCATGGCGACCAACGTTATTTGTCGGTCGGCTAATTAATTAGCTTCCTGAAGTCAGTGCGAGCGAACTTTCGGCTGTTAACTTCGACAGGCAGGCGCTTTTACTCGCATCGTCAACGACTTTTACTGCTGTTCTGACTTCCATGCCTTGCCACACTGACGGTGAGCTGCGAAACACGAGAACGATGCAGCTAATTAGCGGATCATATTTCGAATTTTGTCGAAAAAATCAACCCCCAGGAGCAGGCAGACTTCTGCATGTCCTTCGTTTACGTTCGAATTTAAATATTCGTTGCTTCGGTTGGCTTGGACAATTGTGCAGATGACGATTAGAATTAAATCCTATCCGGGAAGCATGACATTAAGTTTTGCAATTTATCTGAGGACAAGTAGAGCATCGAGGAGTTGCCTCAGAATAGCATAAGTTACCGTCGTTGTTTTCATGCTTAGATATAGCCTGTTTGCACCGCTGTCAGTTGTGATTATCATCTTGAGCCGTTCGCATTCGCAGTGGTCGCCGGATTGTGTGCCAATAAGTTTTTCATTTTCCGTCGCTTTTTGCTATAAGGCATGAGTTCTTGCCTCGAAGAAGGTACAGTTCGTTTGCCTTTAATGTTCTACGACAGAAATCTGAGCGAATAGATACGATGGTTCATGTCCTTCCCCCTGGTTAGGACAGGGCACTGTTCCCAGCAGAGGCTGTGCAGTTATCTCTGTAGGAAAACGAGCCTGCAACAAAATGAGACCCACGTAGTGGTATATCGCCTCAATTTCACTTGTGGCGACACCTATGTTGAAGGAACTGAAAGGAAGCTATAGGCCTAATAAGGGAACGTATGGTAATGGAGAATCATACCGTCGATATTTACTTCATCACGATGGTTCGTAAAGAGGAAAACTGGAGAACGAGTGGGATTACAAAAGCCGTTGTAATGTAACAAACCCACAATGCAATGAATATATTTGAAGAGCGTATTTGCTGCTGCTGCGTTAATTGTACTCGCCGTTCACAGTCTTAAAATAAATTCGTCTTTGTACAAGTTGATGCAACTGCTTCCATTATGCTATCGAACGGTTCCAATAAAGCTTACTATTCAAACGAAGACAACACGCAAAAATTTGCCTCTCCAACAAGCGACTTACCTCCGTCAGATGCAGAGTCGCTGAAGATCTTACTCTGAAATGGAGTGTCGTCGCGCACTCATCAGTGCATAAATAAAAATATGTATTTATTTTAAAAAATTATTAATTAAATCTAAATAGGCCAGCGCTTCGTTTGGCAATCTATTCGGATGACTCAACTTACTGCATCGACGTTTTTTATGTTGGGTGCTGGCTTTTAGCTAGCCGCAGCCTAGGCGCAAGGAGAAATCCTAAAATCCACGCTAAATCACCTGTCTGATGCTTCATGGCTTAGCTTACGTCAGTCGGTACGCCGCGTATCATTCTTCACTGCGGCATAGCTTGACCTACTTGACAGACCGGTATTCAGCAGTCATACTGCTTGATACGTCATTTAATTTTCTCATCTTGATGTCTTCCTCAACCACAGTCGTTCTTAGAGGTGAGAGGTAAAATTGTCTTAGTTTTTGAGGGTAAGTGGACTTTCCTTTACGATTCGGCTGATACCATCCGGCGATAGCCATTGTCCACTAGTGGTCAGTGAATCAAGCTACCTGTTCAATCTGCAGCATTTTGCTCCACTTGTTTTTCACGCCAACATCCTTGCAGACTGACGTCTGCGTTAGGGAGGTGGTCACTAAGCGAATTGTCCAGCATCCTTCATTCTATCTCTCTATATGTCCGCCTGTCTATCGTTCAATAACAGACAACGGATATTCTTCCGCGTTCGTCGTCGCCGTACGGCATCCTCAGCAGTATGAATGTGTTGAAGAGATAGTCCGCTTTGCTTTGCTATTCTTCCAAAGTTAGACGTCTTTAGGTAGAGTTGAACGCCGTCAACCTCTTTACCTCGTTTCACAGATTTTCAGCCTTGCAGTGACGGTGCATCATGACTACCTTGAGTAACTTGAGTACCTTAAGTCTAAATTTACAATTTCTACTCTAGATTATGCATTAATCCTCTGGGTTTCCTGCAGAGACCTGCTACTTCGTGGTTTGCCTTCGGCCGATTTATTTCAAGTCGGACTTTGTTGCATTTCTTTTCGAGTTCGTTCGACACCTTATGCATTTGGAGTACACGACATCCATCGGGCATCACTGCATCGAAAAATGTCACCATTACTCACGATGATCTTCCACGACAGAAGGCGTGTAGAATTTGAAGCAGAGTTCGCTGGCACTTGCTTTCAGTTATTCCGACCTTTGCGCCTTGTTTGCTGGTTATCGATCAAAAAGTGAATAGTTAGGATGACAGCTTATTAATTAAAGCTAAATTGTTAAAAAAATTGCACGTCACGTAATGCTGACGTAATAAAAATCGTTTTGCCCTCGAAATCTACGCTTTTACAGTGACCAGCCGTTCGACGAAACGAACGTGTCGTAAAGTAAATGAAACGGTTTTGCTTTCAGGTACGCCGGTGACTCGGATTCCGATCATGGCAAAGCAAGTGCTTGACCTTTACGAGCTGTACAAGCTGGTGGTGTCCCACGGCGGACTTGTGGAGGTGATCAACAAGAAGCTGTGGCGCGAAATCACCAAGGGTCTGCAACTACCTCAATCGATCACGTCGGCGGCGTTCACGCTGAGGACCCAGTAAGTTTGAATGTGCCAGCTAGCAAAGCTGTTGTTTTGCCTGCCAACGCGTCCCCGTCGGTCGGCTTCTGCCGCCCCGGTCCGACCAACCATTCCGCAGATTGTCACACCGATAAACATTCGCATTTCCAATTGCCCAAACGGCAATTACCACCGGCCGCTGTCGAAATCACTGCTGTCCCCGAATAAGGTGATGAAAGTCGAGGCCGATGATGACGGCAAGAAGTTGTCAGTGTCGGTTTGTGCGTTTGCAAGAACCACTCGATCCTTTTTCACTCTCATCGCGCCACTTTGCCTCGCCGCCACCCGCTTGTCCTCCTTCCATTTTCGCCCTCCATGTTTCTACTCCTCCTCGTCGTTTGGAATCAGTGTCTCCGCTGGAGTCACCACCAAAGAGGGTCTTCAGAAACTCTCTTAATTGTTCATATTTTCAGCATACTCTTGCAAACAAAAACTTACTAACCTGTTTGTAATTTGTTCAATGCGACAACTAGCTATTATTTCTTTGGACTTCTGTTTCAGATTGCCATTATTCATCTTCCGATTGAATATCTTCATCAGCTTCATAAACATGAACTGTTCGAACCTCCTTTGCATTCCATCTTCGCAATCCCGTCAAAATTTAGTAATAATTTCCAAAACTCACATGGATTCTGTGCGTCAGGTTGCCGTCACAGTATCATATTTCAGTTGGTGTTGGTACAAAATCGGCAGTTGTTCAGACTGACTGATTTTGCATTCGAACGCGTGTTTGCTCAGCCCAACATGGTAACACCCACGCGCTACACATGCTCAAGTACCATGGAGTAACCATGGAGTTGTCACATGATTGGAAGTCCCGAATTCATGTAGAAGACGGTAGACTGCGAGTACGCTGCTAGAGAATTCGGTCTTATTCTTTGATATAAGCGGTACGGTGCCAACAGTCATCGACTATGTCAGAAATCTGACTGTCTTTATAACCAGTGAATCAGTACCACGTAATGCCAATTATTTCTTCCCGATTATTATTCTGAAATTGGTTTAATCGCTTTTCGGTTTATGCTTGCTCTTTGAATTCAATGGCTTTCAAAGCTTCTGATTACAGAAACTTAAGCTTGACAACATTAACAAGAAACCACGACTTCTCATCATTTTTAGATCATTTGAGAGCGGAACAAAACTACTGCTTTGATGGCTGGGCCATAATTTTCTGTACTTGGTTTTGGGAATAGATGTGACACCTCACTGGTGAAGTGAGACCAGCCAGACATTTGAAATGCATTTCTATCCGTCACTTTCGTCTGACTTTTTCTCGTTGTCGGTGGGCGTTCAGAAGTCGGCGCTCATCTAATCTTTGTTCTTCTTCGGTGGTCTTTGGCGAGGAGTTCCTCGTCAGTTCATCTGCAACCTGTTGCCCAAACCATTGCCTATATTTTTCATACGTTCACCAATCTCAACGACCCGAGCGGGTTCCTGCTCTATTTCCGGGCCCTAACTTTGGGCAGGAAACATTTGGTACATTTATCAATATATATTTTTGTCCAATTTAATGTGCCATTTCAGGAATAGTAGTCGTATACAATAAAACAGCTTATGATCTCCATACGGAGAATAATTGCATTAATATTTTACAAATATGATGAATTAAAATCATAGTTAAGTTTTAATTAAGGCAACATTCAGTCAAGAATAAGTATTGTTATTAATTGGACATCTATCCATATTCTTCAAGCGTTTGTTTTGGGTTGTGGAAACAGAAGTTTTACAGATGGATCTGGTACTCATCAAATTATGTAAGTTTTACAGGCTGCTTTCTTAAATACGAGACTGCTAGGCTCTCATTGTATTCATATGTCATCTTTTCTTCTTTCTTTGCCTGTGTCTCCTGTGACCTTGTCAACACGGTCTGCCTTGAGCGTTTTCTTGTAATATCTTTATCGCATTCTGAAGCTACCGCAACGACGATCTATGGAGATGTGAAAAGAAGAGTTCAGAGTACTAGAATCTGTCTAGAGCTTGTACGTAACATTGCAGCAAGCAAGTTCTAAAACATGCGATTTTAACTCTTACACCTGGAGTGACGCTTTCGGTAAAACGGTGCGTACAGGGGGGACTGGCATAAAGAGAGACAGACGCAACCGCGGTATTGTTCACATGTTTCTTCATTGCCAGGGAACCGTTCTTAAAGAATAATCAAACGTCATCCCTTAAAATGAAAAGGAGACGATAGATACCGCTGATATTTGACGGTTACTCAAGATCAGCATGAATTAAACTGCCAGAGGGAGCATCCAAATTTCCAATTGGTAGAACCCAACAAAACAAGCCAAGATTTGTGAGATTCTAGATCACGGTTTGCTTCTTTAACTTGTTTATTGCACAAGGTGTGAACGGTCCATGTTCCATGACTTATGAGGCATGTGTTCCGGATTATATATTTCTACTGTCATCTGAATCAAGGGTTCGATTCGAAAGATAGTGTATCGAAATCTGATGAATCTCCTTGAAAATTGAATTATGCGTAATGGTCGCAAAACAGCTGTCAGAACTGATATACGTTCTGAAGTAGCACTTTGTTCAATAACGTTGTTTCTTCCCTGGCAATAAGTACTAGTAAAATACTGTTATTGACCTTGGCAACACGCCGTACTTTCAGAGATAAATCATTCTTCATAACAATTTCTTCTTCTTCTTTTTTCTAGCATGTTCCTTTTCACAGGGGTCTGCTAATGGAGTCAACCTACTCCCCCTCCCCTCATTTTGTTTGTCATTCGTTATGCTACGTCCAACATAGTGAACGTTGAAAATTCTGAAATGAAATTCAGAAGATGCGAATAAAACAAGGTAGTCTGCAAACAGTTAACTCGGTACCCTGTTTGAGACAGACTATTCTAACCATGTACAACACAAGCAGGA